GAGGTTCAATTTAAAATGTAATTAAGATAAACTGAAGGACAATGAAAAAAAATAGACTTAAATATTGATTCATCTTTGCAAAGAAAAAATCACTATAATTAGTTCCTTAATTACTACTACACTTCTAATTATACGTTTAAAAGTTTTAAATGTATCATTTTATTATGTTATTAATTGTTTCGAATCGTTTTTAGGCAACCAAACAATCATTGTTTGCAGGATATCCTTTCAAGATCGCATCTATCGATTCAAATCGATCTATAGATTCAAATTTCTATTATTAAAGCACTCACGAAAATACGAATATAATTGATCAATTACCATTCCCGTTTGACAGTCACGCACGGAAATACTTTCGTTGTTTTAATATAAACAACAGATACCAACTTCAATTTCCAAATATGAATAAGATTTTCATTTGGCAATTTTGTTAACAGTCTGGATCGATAAACATTTACTTAGAACTTAACCGTAAACCGGAACGAAATTAATTTCGGTTCGACTCTCTGGTTAACAGTAATACTTTCATACCAATCTTTATATTTTAACCAATAGCATATTTTCAGTTGGTAGATTCATCTTTGCAAAGAAAAATATAAACAGCTGTTTTGACACGAATACCAACTTAAATGATACATGACTATAATTGGTTCCTTAATTACTACTATACTTCTAATTTTACCTCTAAAAGTTATAAATGTATCATTTTAATTCAATCAACATTTATTATGTTATTAATTGTTTCTAATCGTTTTTAGGCAACCAAACAATCATGGATTGCAGGATATCCTTTCAAGATCGCATCTATAGATTCAAATTTCTATTATTAAAGCACCCACGAAAATACGAATATAATAATAATAAATGTTGATTGAATTAAAATGATACATTTATAACTTTAGTATAATTAATGTATTAATTAATAATAATTAATTAATGTATAATGTATAGTCATGTATTATTTAAGTTGGTATTCGTGTCAAAACAGCTGTTTATATTGTTTCTTTGCAAAGATGAATACGAACTGAAAATATGCTATTGGTTAAAATATAAAATTAGTATGAAAGTATTACTGTTAACCAGAGAGTCGAACCGAAATTAATTTCGTTCCGGTTTACGGTTACGTGAAATTACTGGAATAATTACGGGAATTAAAATGATACATTTATAACTTTAGTATAATTAATGTATTAATTAATAATAATTAATTAATGTATAATGTATAGTCACGCATCATTTAAGTTGGTATTTGTGACAAAACAGCTGTTTATATTTTTTCTTTGCAAAGATGAATCTACCAACTGAAAATATGCTATTGGTTTTTTAATTGGTATGAAAGTATTACTGTTAACCAAAGAGTCGAACCGAAATTAATTTCGAACCGGTTTACGGTTACGTTCCAGACTGTTAACAAAACATCAAAATCTTATTCATATTTGGAAATTGAAGTTGGCATCTGTTGTTCATATTAAAACAACGAAAGTATTTCCGGGTACTTCCGTTCGTGTCAAACTGGGAAAGTTAATTGTTCAATTATATTCGTATTTTTGTGGGTGCTTTAATAATAGAAATTTGAATCGATAGATGCGATCTCGAAAGGATATCCTGCAAACAATGATTGTTTAAAAACGTTTTGAAACAATTAATAACATAATAAATGTTGATTGAATTAAAATGTTATATTTATAACTTTTAGACGTATAATTAGAAAAATAGTAATATTTGTAGTAGTAATTAAAGAACTAATTATAGTCACGTATTATTTAAGTTGGTATTCGTGTCAAAACAGCTGTTTATATTTTTTCTTTGCAAAGATGAATCAATATTTAAGTCTATTTTTTTTCATTGTTTCATTCAGTTTATCTTAATTACATTTTAAATGAAACTCACGTCACAAAAGTACCAACTGAAAATATGCTATTGGTTAAAATATAAAGTTGGTATGAAAGTATTACTGTCGAACCGAAATTAATTTCGTTCCGGTTTACGGTTACGTTCCAAGTAAATGTTTATCGTTCCAGACTGTTAACAAAACGTCAAAATTGCCAAATGAAAATCTTACTCATATTTGGAAATTGAAGTTGGTATCTGTTGTTCATATTAAAACAACGAAAGTATTTCCGTGCGTGACTGTCAAACGGGAATGGTAATTGATCAATTATATTCGTATTTTCGTGAGTGCTTTAATAATAGAAATTTGATGGACGTTAAAAGTGTTCATAATAAACCGATTACGAGGTGAGTTCTAATTATAGGTGTTCCTTCAATTAATCGATTAGATCCGGTGAGTCCGCGAGATGTCGTCGCGACGCCTCAACGTTTCGGTTGGGAGCGGCAGATGGCGTCGTTTCGGGAACACGGGGAGCGTCGCTCGCGTCGGACATTCCCCGTGTCTCTTGGCAGATGGCAACCACCCCGAATCCAGTGCATCCAGAGCCACCCTCTGACGTCGACTGTTTCCGCATCGACCAATAGCCGTTCACGCCATATTGACTGCTCCGCCACCACGCCAGAAAAAACAACCCAACTTCCGCCCCCCCTCCACCACCAACATCCCCCTGCACACCAACATATATATACTATATATATATACATGATATTGGATGATTATATATATGTATAGATAGAGGCGCGCGCGAGAGAAAGAGAGAGAGAGAGTACTCTGACACATTCCTGATACATGTGTGTATTATGTCGCAGTGTTTTGTCACGTTTAAATTCGGAACGGCCGTCGCGACGCGATCCCCGTGTCATCATCATCGTCGTCACCAGTGAATGAAAGAGAAAGAGTGAAAAAAGAAAGAACTGTATAAAGAAATAACGAGGAAGAGGAAATCGGGACGTGCGTTCGAAATTGGGCCACGTTAATTTTCCCTCCCTTCATCGAATTCCCAACATTCGGTTGTTGTTATTGTTGTTGTTGTTGCAACACTGATCAAGTGGACGATGCCGGTGAGGAAGCAAGGTGAGCTCAGCACTTACCCTCTTACTACTTCGACGAATGTATAACAAAAGCAAAACGAAAACACACATGAATAAGTAATTACCAGCTGATCGGGGTTCCACCCTACACCCCTCATTCCTCAATCCCAACAACAACACCCGCTCCTGTCAAAGTCCTCGTGAGTTCGCACGTGCTTCGTACAAGATTAAGTTACGCAATCGATTTCATTCTCCTTCCTCCCCACCCTTCTCTTCATCATACGTTCTCCTCCTGCAAGAGTTGCATTTATTTCCAGCATTCTGCGACTCTTGGCCGTCGGCCAGGACGACTCTAATCCTAATCCGAGGATCGAACCCGAAACATAATTAACCGGAAATCGATAAGCCGGGTGGGAAATGGAATAGAAAGAAACCAACCCCTAACATGCATCCATCCGTTTATTTCTCTTCTTTTTTTTTTCACCATTCAAATCCCTTCTCTTTTTTTTTTCGTCAGTGGATTTTCGCAAATATTTGCTGAGTCGTCAGGATTTCAAACGATTTATCTATGGGCTTATTATTTGGGATTTAGGGAAAAATGTTATTCACGCTTCTTCGATTCGGATTTCAGTTTACTAACGTCTTAAAGGCGATGAAACATTACTACTCTTTTATTTTTCCACTTGAACATCTCGTTAGGCGTTAATTATAAATGATTATCGACTTTTCCTGCCTCCAGGTCAACACTCTTCTTTCTAATTGATTAATCCAATAAAAAAAGTTTAAAAATAGACTTTCATATGCACTCATCCCTCTATATACAAGATACCTTTTTACTATTTTTAGGCAACTCTATTTACACAATATAAAATTCTCACGTTGCATAACAAAAATATTCAGTTTATGCTTTTCCATATTTTATGTGCTTATAATGAAATAAGTTCCTCCCTCCAGGTCAACACTCTTCTTTCTAATTGATTAATCCAATAAAAAAAAAGTTTAAAAATAGACATTTCATATGCACTCACCCCTATATACACAAGATACCTTTTTACTATTTTTAGGCAACTCTATTTACACAATATAAAATTCTCACATTGTATAACAAAAATATTCAGATTATGCTTTTCCATATTTTATTTTTTTATAATGAAATAAGTACTTTTTTTTAAATTAACGTTTTAACAACTACTTTAGTTAAAATAATACTAATGAAAGCGTTGGAATAAATGATTTGCTTTTGATAATTCGGGAAATTCAATAGTTTCGATATCTGCAACCAAACATACGCGTCGAGAATATTATTTAAATGTTACGAGCAAAATTCGATTCTACTTTCGTTTTTTCTCTCTCCATCCGAATCCTGCGTTACTTCTTCGGTTGCCTTTGAATGAATTTCCATAAATCCTCCAGGTCAACATTCTTCTTTTTAATTGATTAATCCAATAAAAAAAAGTTTAAAAATAGACATTTCATATGCACCCCTATATACACAAGACACCTTTTTACTATTTTTAGGCAACTCTATTTACACAATATAAAATTCTCACGTTGCATAACAAAAATATTCAGTTTATGCTTTTCCATATTTTATTTGCTTATAATGAAATAAGTATATTTTTTTTTAAATTAACGTTTTAACAACTTCTTTAGTTAAAATAATACTAATGAAAGTGTTGGAATAAATGATTTGATTTTGATAAACCGAGAAATTCAAAAGTTTTGATGTCTGCAACCAAACCAACGCGTCGAGAATATTATTTAAATGTTACGAGCAAAATTCGATTCTACTTTCGTTTTTTTCTCTCCATCCGAATCCTGCGTTACTTCTTCGGTTGCCTTTGAATAAATTTCCATAAATCCTCCAGATCAACACTCTTCTTTCTAATTGATTAATCTAATAAAAAAAAGTTTAAAAATAGACATTTCATATGCACTCACCCCTATATACACAAGACACCTTTTTACTATTTTTATGCAACTCTATTTACACTTTATAAAATTCTCACGTTGCAAAACAAAAATATTCAGTTTATGCTTTTCCATATTTTATTTGCTTATAAAGAAATAAGTACATTTAAAAAAAAAATAACGTTTTAACAATTACTTTAGTTAAAATAATTCAAATGAAAGTGTTGGAATAAATGATTTGCTTTTGATAAACCGGGAAATTCAAAAGTTTGGATATCTGCAACCAAACCAACGCGTCGAGAATATTATTTAAATGTTACGAGCAAAATTCGATTCTACTTTCGTTTTTTTCTCTCCATCTGAATACTGCGTTACTTCTTCGGTTGCCTTTGAATAAATTTCCATAAATCCTCCAAAAAAAAATACGAATCCTGCGTGTTTTCAACAATGCGAATGCAAATTACCAGTACTTTTTTTTATCAGAGTGTTAAAACCGAATGCGGGAAAAATATTAAATGATATAAATAAATGTATGAAACGTGTTGGGAATACGTGTATGTGTATAGATCGCACGTCGCGCGTACACGAAAAATCGGTTGCATAATAGTCGGACATGCCGGTCGGATAATTAGGAAAATCGCACGGTGGCAATACTAATGCCGTAACAGTGCAGTTGCCGCTATCTACTGCTGCTCTACACAGATAATAAATTGCCCCAATTCGTTATTGCCGCAATCTGGGCCAAAATAATAAAAAAAAAACTAACAACCTCCATCCGCGCATTCACTCTTTCGCAACGCTTCGCCAATTCCATGTCTCTCTTTTGTACTGTTATTATCTGCAACTTTTTGTGCTTGTATGTGTGTTGTTCGTCCTGCACAATGTACAACTTCATCCCCCTCCGAATGGAAATAATGGTCTACTTTCACAATGTGCATTCGATGTTCGAAATCATGCAAAGCATACATCGATCGTTAATCTGCAAAGTTTGTTTAATCGCATCGTCGTTATGTAACGTTTATACAGATTTGTTTTGCTGGTGGAAAAAAATTGATTGAGTGCATTGAGTTGCATATGTTGTTTAATAATTGGACAGTGCTGCGCCTAGCGGATTAATTTTAATTATTTAGAAAAAAATATATTTCTCGTCAATCTTTCAATTATAAAAATAGAAATATGATAAAATTAATAATTATTTATTATAAAAAATGATATTTATTTTACTGTTAGGCAACTTTATGTGCTCAACACGAGTATTTGAAATTAAATTATTTTAATGAATTTCCGTGCATGTAAATATGCACGGCTTTCGCTCGTGAATCTACATGATGAAGTGTAACTGCAGTTGCATATTGTCGCGAAATGTAATTTTAGATGCGTTTTGTGTTCGCGGATGTACGTACTTCTCTCTTCCCTTCTCTCATCCGTTCCGTTCTGTATGCCACGTTTCTCTGTTCTGGTCCGCGTGCGTTTATCTGCGAGAGCAACCGAACTTTGGGCCCGTTTTGTTCCATAGTTTTAATTGAAATATAATCTTGTCACATTTGTGAGCGTCGACGTACGGATTACATAATGAAGGCGGCGTTGGCGGAGGCAGCGTATCAATGGTTGTCGCGCACCTGACGTCGTTTCCGGTTTCTCGATAAAACGCCGCTTCCGCCTTTATGCCTCTTTCCCCATCGATTCAGTTCGCGAGACACATACACACAA